ATGTTTATATTGGACTTTGATCCTTACAAGTAAGTCCCTTTGTCCTTTTCAATGAAGAAAGTAAAAACAGAGGGAAGCATCTACATTTCTCTGTAGGTTCTATGCTACTTACTCCATGCAATATACCATTGTCATTATGAAAACTATTTTATTTTTCTTCTTGGAACTGGAAAGATGGCTAAGTGGTTTAAAATATTTGTTTCTATTGTAATGGACTCTGGGTAAATTCGAGCACCCATACTGTGTGGCTGTCAATTCTCTATAAATCTAGTTTCAGGGAATTTAATGTAATCCTCTGGCCACCACAGGTACCTGCATGCATGTGGTACACATCAACTCATGTGCATGTGTACAAATACACATAAAAGTATTCTAATTTACATTTTTATGTTGGAATGATTGTGCTTTCATATACATCGGTGAAAGATAAGGAATTAGAATCTAGGCATCTTTTATCTAGTTTACCCTTACAATAACATACTATAAAATTATAGCACAAAATCACAATATAGTATCATATTGATATCAATAAAGTGAAAAGTATGCAATATTTCATTCAAATCCACTTCCCTTTCTCTTGCTTCATTTTAATCTTTATTAGCCATTAATGTGGCACCTATTTCTGATTTTGAGGTTATCTAGCATGCTACATGTCACACAACATGCATAACGACATACTACATAAATACGATAATATAGAACATAACTACTTCTTTTTTTGTTATTGTTTCCTATAGGACCACCCACCTCCTTCTATAAATTAACAAACTGTTTCTTTGTTTTGCTGAATAGTATTTCAGGAATATCAGTTTGTTTAGTCAATGAACCTATGGAGGATACTTGTGCTATTTCTAGCTTTGTAATAAAATTGCTACAAATATTTGTGTGAGGAGTTTGTGTGCACCTAACAGTTATTTTCTGTGACAAACACGCAGGGACACAACTGTTGAGCCATGCCATTCCAGCACATCTAAAGACTTTCACATCTACAATCCTACCAGTAACAAATGAGTGATGAGAGGCTCTTTTAATCAATAGTTGGTTTTATTAGTCTTTTTTTATTCAATCATTCTGATTGGTATAAGATGAAATACAGTGGTTTCCGTTCATATTTTTCTGATGGATAATAATGTTGATCTTTTTATTTTTATATAAGCCTTCTTTCCTGGAATGACTACTTATGTCCTTAATTGATTTTCTGGTTAGAAAAGGAATTTGTCTGCATTTGAATTTTTAAAAGTTTTTTAAACATATCTTATTTTAGTCTTTCACAAAATACCTTGTCTGCAAGCATAGTCTCCCAGCTAAGAACTTATTTTTAAGTCTTTTCAATTGGCTGTTTCTTCTATCAAATAATACAATGAATTAAACAAATTTTCTTTTTCTGTATTGTGCTTTTAGTGTCAAAGTTAAGACTTTTCCTTAGCCCTAGATCTCAATGATTTCTGCTTAGGTTTTACAATGAATGTTTGGATTTTGCTTCTGACATTTAATTAAAGTCTATGATCCACAATAAGATGTGTTTTATATAGTGACAGTCATCTTTTTCTAAACATGTGAATGTCCAAATGTTGCTGCATTATCTGAAGAGGAGGCAAGGAGAGGGTCACCCATCTTTCTTCAATTGAGTTGTTATGTAACTTTATTTTAAAAAATCATTGGGCATATTTGTGTTGTATATGCCCTGATTTTTTCTGTTCTTTTTCACTGATTTTGAATCTGTCCCTCCATCCACTACATGTATGGAAATATTCTAATGTGATAATTTTAGTGTTATAGAAGATTTCTATTTCTTTTTAATTTTCTAATGTTTTTTACTTTTCTAGTCCTTCCTTTTCCACATACATTTAATAATAATCTCGTTGGTAACCGTAAAATGGTCTTGTTTGAAGAGGTCTGATGAATTTTAAATTTCTGGCACAGCAGGTACCTGTATCTCTTCGGAGTTTCTCATTTCTTCCATTAGAGTCTCATCACTTTCAAGCACCAGTCCTGTGTAATGTTTTATTAGATTCTAGTCTGAGTGTTTCGTTGTTTTTCTTTTGAAACTTTAAATGACACCTTAACTTCAGAATTCATGTGGTCATTTTGAGTATATAAGAATACTATCTTACGTTTTGATCTTGTATACTGAGACTTTGTAACCAGTTTTGAACCCTAGGTTTGCTTTTTTAAAAATCAGCAATGCATGTTTCACTGGACATGGTATCACATGCCTATAACCCTGGCAATCAAGAGGTTGAGTCAGGGTAGTCACAAGTTGTCAGGATATCAAGAACTACACACCAAGATGAGATACATATATACATACATATGTACGAGCATGCATAGTCACTTTAAATTTAATTCATTAAAATCCTGTCCTGAGGATTATTTAAATAGATAGCTATGCATGCTTTGAAGTCAGAGCTGTTTTACTTCATCTTGGCTAAGTTGGCTGTTTTAATATCCCTTTCTTGTCTATTGTATGAGCCAGCACTTTCAGTACTGTATTGATTGAGTGGAGACAGGATGGATAACTATGTCTTTTTTCCACTTTTAAGGAGAAGCATACAGGCTTTCCATACTGTGTGATGTTAGGTATGGGTTTCTGGTAGATGCTTTTTATTAAAACAATTCCTATCATATTCTTACTTTTCTATGTGTTTTTGTCGAATATGAGCATTGGATTTTGTCATTTTTTCTTGCTTTAACTGATATAATCACATTTTTTTCATTTTACCTGATAATATAGTAAATTGTAGTGACTAGTGTGGTTTTTAAATTTAGAACTATCCTCACACCCTTATAATAACTTCTACTGTAGGGAAAAGAGTAGAGTTAAGACCATACTGCTCTTGCAAAGGACCCAAGTTCATCTCTCAGTGCCCATGTCAGGTGACTCTTGGCTCACAGTGGCCTGTTACTCCAGCTCCAGGAGAATAGATGCCCTCTTCTGGCCTCCATGAACCTGTACACATAACACACACTCACACACACATAACACACACACTTTAAAAAATAAAAATATTTTTTAATTATTGTGTATGTTTATAACTTATTAATGAATTTTATTTGTTAGTGTTTTGCTAGAGGTTTTGTGACTGAATTGTTATCCTGCAACAATTGGTAGCCTGTTTAGCTTTCCCTGATTTGGGTTTCTAGATACATAAGTCTCATGAAATGAATTAGGACTCACTTTTCATGTGTCTCCTAGAAGAGATTGTTCCAGGTCAGTGTTAATTTATCTTTAAATATTTGAAAGAATTATTTAATGAAACCATCTGGGTCTGGAGATTTCAGTTTTTGAGAGGACTTTTTCTAATTAAAAATTCAATTTTCTTAATAGATTTGGGACTCCTCAGACCAAATGTGTCTATGTTGTACTAGTTCAGTTTACATAATATGTCATTTCCTGCAAGTACCTTAGCAAATTATCATGCTGGGGACAATTTAGAGACATAGACATGCATTGTTTTGCATTTCTGAAGACTAGAAGTCCAAAACAAAGACATCAAGAGGACCGTGTTCCCTGTGACACATATAGAGAAGCCTTCTTCCTTGAATTTTCCAGCTTATTGCCCAACACTCCTCTTTTGGGTGGCGGCATAACTCTAGCCTCCACTGTTTTTGTCACAGGGTACTCTCTGGAATCTCCTAAGATCCCGTCCACTCTTGCATACCTGTGTACAAGCTACCCTGTCTTCCTTGCAAAGTTGGGACTCCAGGCCCCTTTCTGGCCTCACTGATGTCTCTATGGCTCTATCTCTAGTGGTTTACATTAAGGCTATTACATGACCTCATTGCTTTGAACCATGCCTCTAAATTGCCACCAAGATCCCTCTGACATCAAGGTAGCACAGGTTGCTATGGGCTGAAGGAGCTAAAATTCTCCACCCCTACTTTGCCTTCGTAGGACCTGTAAGTGTGTTGTTGTGGCTGGTTAGGACGACCCACTATTGGTGCCTGTTTGTGATCAGCCTCGCTGGTGCTGTGTTGAGAGTGGGCAAGAGGAGGCACTTGCTGCTTCTTCCTAGAGGGGATGAAACTCCTGGTGCACACTGTTCATACCTGCACTTGGGAGTGACTTGAATCTTTCTAGCCCAGAATATTGGAATACTGATTTTCCCCTTCACCTCTTACTCTATAATTCAGCGTGGGATTTTTCTCCTCTAGCATTCTATCATCATGAAGCAGATATCTGTACATTTTCTGTCTGACTAGGCTGTCTTTGACATGTGGCTAGAGATCCCCACTACATTCCTTGCATGTTCAGGTCCCTAGTTGGTCTCTATGCTTCTGCCAGTTTTTTTGTTTGTTTTTCTTTTTGCTAAATACAAGTCGTTACATGGAGAGTCCTAGTTATACTTGCAAGAAGCAAGGGGAGAATTATACGTATGCCATCTTCCCATTCCTGGAAGTCCCAGGGCTTTCCTTTTTAGTTTGCTTTTCAGTTAAAAACAAAAGGGCAGAATGCCCCATGCCCTCATCTTAACGGACAGTTGCTACCACCAGTGTCTTGATTCCTTTCTTCTTTAAAAATAAAGGCTGTTTATGCTCAAAGAGATGCTGAGCAGACAAATGGAGCATCCGTGAAGCTTGCATTCAGGTTCTGAAAGCTGCCTCGGAAGAATGGCCACTATCGCGAGTTTTGAGACCTTTTTTCTGTTCATAGGATCTAACAGGTGGGAGATGGCAAGTCTCATTTAAGGAAAATGAGTTACATGAAGGCAAGTGAGAGTTAAAAGCAGGATAGGTTTCTTAAAGGAAAGCAAAAGAGCTGGGTGCGTTGGCATAAGTGACCAGGCAGGCATCTCCTATTCTGAGGTAGAGGACAAATCATAGAGGGACTTCCAGGGGAAGCCTGCACCACCAGTGGGGACAGCGAGGAACCGAAATCGCCAGAAGTGAGCCTGTGAATGCAGCCAATTGGATGAACAACTTCAGGGCTCACACCTGGTGTTCACCAGAGAAAGAGAGGGGCGGGGACTGGACTGGGGGGAGGGGAGCCAGCGGGGAGCGACAGTGTAAGGCTCAATGATCAGTCGCCTGAGATAGGAGACCTAGGAGGGAGGCGGGAACTAGGCTTAAGGGTTGTGTCCACCCAGCAGTCTCTAAGATCTGAGCGGACCACAGGAGGCGCCACCAGGACATCTCTGCAGCTCTCGGTGCCAGGGAGGAGCGAGCCTCAGTCTTGGCCACCGCGGCTCCTGCCTGTGCTTCTCTGTCCCTGCAAGGGGCGCTCAGGCTTCCTAGCCTTTGCCTGAGCTGTCAGCTTTTCTCTACCCGAAATCAACCATGGATGTCAACTCCCGGCTTCCTGTACAAAGGTAAGAATCATTTCCCTTTATGCCAAATGCTATCTATGTTCCTCAAACTCTGCTAGGCACTAGAGACCACAGGCAAAGTTGCTTTCGGTCGTTTGCTATACTAGAGATATCCATGAAGAAGTTGGATCCCTGCACTGCGAGTCCTAAGATTAGCCTTAGAGGACCTTGGTCCCTGTTAGCTACCCCACTGGGCTAGGCTGGGTGGGGCTGGTGTGCAGGAGAGGACAACTAGGTGCCTGCCTTTATGTGTTGGGGACTGGGGTCTCCTCTGCCAGGGGAGATACCTGGGGAACCGAACTTTCAGGTGTGTGTTACCTGCAACAGTTTCGCGCCTTGGCGTGGAATGGTTTCTAAGGTGGAAAACAGAGAGCAAAGGGATCAAGACCAAAGCCAAGTTTCATTGATCTTGACCTGGACTAGTGCTTGGGGCTTTGGGAGAGGTATAATACAGTGTACCATTTTGAGGAGACCTCTTTGGTCTCTCACTGATACCTAACCTGAGCCCATCTGCAATCCTGGGCAGAGACCTCCATCCTCCTCAATCCTTTAGCAACTCTGAAGTGCTCACCAATTCCACCCTAGTCCCTGAGTCCGCTCTGCACCCAGGTAAGTGCAGCCACCTGACAGACGCAATTAAAACGTTTGTTGTTTCCTCTCCTGTCTCCCTTCCCTTTGCTCCTGCTCTGCTTTCTGCCCGACCCAGCCAGAGAATTCAAGAATCTGTAATTTTTGTTCTTCTCCCTAGAAATCTCTGGGTCGAATTGGGGCTGTAACTCGGGGTGGTTCCCCAGTTGCAGGGGTAGATTGGACCCTTTGTGCTCTGCCCGGCAGGGAGCTGAGCGTTCACAGTTCACTCGGAGAGCTCCTGAGCTCCTGGCACTGTGGAATGCAACAGCTTGGGGTATCATGCTGACATCCATCACTGCCCCACTTTTCATCTCCCAGGGCTCAGTGCTGATCTTTTTTTTTTAAATTTTAAATAGCTTGTTTTACATGTCAATCCCAGTTTGTAGGCTCTTACTTCCTATCCCCAGTCCCTTCCCCAACCAACCCAACACTGAAATAAACACTTGGAACTAGGAGCCTGGAATTGCTTTGAAACCTAGCAAGACCCAATACTCAAAAGTCTAAGGCTCACTCACACCCAGTAGCCAAGACAGGGTGACTGAAATAGGGTTGAGCTTACAGGAGGTTAGGTATTGCCTTTCAAGGGTTCAGGGTCTGGCATCTACAGTCTCAAGTGTTTATGCTGTGTGATAGCTTAAGCCTTCCCACTTTCACAGCCATCACCCTTCTCTGTGGACTTAGCAAGTGAGGTTTCTACATAGTGCCTGGGGCAGTTCTTAAGTGAGGCTCTAACTCTCTGACTCAAACAGGAATAAATGACTACTGAGTCTATTCTGACCTAGTGTCTGAAAAGAGCAAGTAAAACTGTGGGAGGGAAGACTTTAAAAGCTTAAAAAATAACCAGTGCTGTTGTTGATTTTAGTAAAAGCATAGCATATTTTAAAAGTGGAGTCTATTAGAGGGTTACTGCTTACTGTCTGGAGAAATGGTCCTTAGAATTGACACGTTGAGAGCTAAGGATACAGCTCTAGCCTTGCATGCACAAGGCCCTCAGTTCAGTCCTCAGTTTCTCCATCCCACTCTTCACAAATTGAAATAGTCCCAGCATTCCAAAAGAGGCACTTTTCATAACAAAACCCACCATTTCAGGTTGCTATGACTGTGGCTCAACCATGACTTAATTTCCTTTTAATCCTGTAACATTTTCTAAAATATTAGAAATGCATCATGCCAATGATGTATCAATGTCTTTTCTACTGTAGTACCAAAAAATGGCTGTGTAAAGAGTAAGCTTGTTGAAGCTCCACATCTGAATATTATTAACATGTCTCCAGAAATAACCTTTCAAATATTACCACTTACCAAGAAACAACACATTTCCCCCAAGTTAGTCTAATACTCTCATCTATTGTAGTATCCTTTTCAATGCCTTTATTTTAGTATAAAAATCACAATTCTTCTCCCATCAGATTTCATGAAAGGCCATCAGAATTTACTTTTCGTGTGTGTGTGTCTATGCTTTTGAGTGTGTGTGCCTGTGTCTGTGTGTGTGAAAACAGAACTAGAATTTGAACTGATGTGTGTATGCCCTCTACTAATCACAGAGCTTGTTTACAATAGCTGGAATTTTTAAAGAAATGATGATTCCATATTCTACATGAATTATTACTGGTCAAGCATGTACCGTACAAATTTGAAACATTCTTGGTATTTAATAAAGTTAAACTAGTGATTAAATAGCAGCATTTCTTTTAAGCAAGATAAAATAATTTAGATATCTATTCAACAATGCACAGAGAAAACAACTTGGTTTGGGAACACAGTGAGTTAATTGTAGGGTACTTTGTGCTGCTGGCAGTTTTTTGCTTTCTTGGTGTTTTCAATTAAAACAGTCTATAAATGGGGCAGTAATCAAGCAATACTCTGTGATGACTGATCTCAAAATGGAATTTGAATAATAATTTGGTAACTTGAAAGCATGGGGTTTCAACAAAGAAGATGTTGACAGATCTGTGAGTTATATTCTATTAACCTTGTATTTGCAAAGGTTTCAGATTTATTTTAACTATGAAGATTTTGATCTTTGGATATGTAGTAAGTTGTGTGAAGAGCGTTAAAGACTTATAAAAGTCACTGCATTTAAAAGCCAGACAATATCTCCAAGAAGGAAATCAAGCAATGGGGAAACCAAATATCCTCACATTAGATGAAGATGAATTAAACCCCAGAATTTCATGTTCTTTCCTGGCTAGTGGTCTAGTAGAAATCAAATGTTTTAAAAACAAAGTTATTATTTTGGTTTGGATATCTTTTACAGCCAAAAGTGTTGGGGGACATTTCTTCACTTACATGTTTTATGAAGGTTATTTAATTTGCTAAGTCACATAACTAAGTGTTTAGAAAAAATAACTGGCGTTCTCTTCCAAGTGTTTCCTGTACCACACTTATTCCTACACCATAGCTACTCTTTACAGATGTAAGTCGATATTATTTACATGAGTAGCTGTGTGCACAATCACGTTTAGACGTTATTAGGTGTCATCCCATATATTAAATTATTTGATCATCATATCCTTGGGAGTTAGTTATAAAGATATTACTTCTACTTCCTAGCAAAAATCCCTGAAGCTAACGGAAATTAAATAAAGCAAACATTGGATTTAGAAGGCCACGTAAATAATACCTAGGACACCCCAGAGATCTTCTGTCTTCACATCCAATTTTGTGTTTGTTTGTTTGGTTCTTACATTGACTATGAACTCACACTTTTAGATAGAAATGCTGGTGCGACTGTAATGGTAGCATCGTTCTCAGACACGCGGGGGCAGCCTAAATGCAAAATGCTCCTTAGTGCAGTGATCCTTGAAGGTATCTTTTAAAATATATTACAAACAAAACATTTTTCATCTTCACCATGTTCAAGATGGAATTTGAAGTTGAGGGAAGAGTTAATCTGCTTCATAAAATTTACATTTTTATACTGTATAGAATTATTCTTTCGTTTTGTTGGGCTTCACTATTCTGTTTTAATCATACATTTTTTATTTGGGCCTTTGGAGAAGAAACCAAAAGCTTGTTTTGAAAAAGAATATATGCGTTATTGATTTCATCATTTCATTTTTACCAAACCTGAAATTTAATTTAGCAACACATCGCTCATATTGTTAGGACCTAGGAGAAAAGCACTTGTTTTCATGTACCAAAACTCCAAACTGTATACTAAACTAAAACCACCCATCAGTATATTTCTAGTGAATGTTTATATGTTTTCAAATTCATAAAGGAGGAGAAATTCAGGTGCATAGCTTCATTTCTATGTCATCTTGACAAATGACACTGAGGAAGCACTGACCTCAACCCTTTGTGTGGAGGGGGAGGAGTGTTGGGTGATGTTTTTTCATGGGATGCAACACTCTTTCACCAATCCAGCACTGAATTGCATCCATACTCCCCAGTTCATAAAATCCAGGGTACTTCCACTCCAGAAGTAACTTCCCACAGACAGGGAAACTTGGAGTTAGGAATCCAGACAAATATATTTGACTCAGGGAGCTGACACTGCTTCTGTGAAATGACCACATGGTGAAGAAGCAGAAATTCTCAAAACAATTTATAACCAAAACACCTTTATAAATACTCTTTAGGTCTACCATTAACATTTCACTGTACTGGCAACTTTTATGGACAGCTGGCCTCCATCTCTCTTATTCCCTTGGTAAAATATATATATGAAAGTTATAAATAAAATAATCACCCTGCAAGTCAACATTTCCAGAACTTCTTTTCAATAAGGAGCTCTCTTGGATAGCACTACTTAGCTAAATACCCTTGAACTGTCTGTGGGAGAGTTTTATCCATGTGGAATATTAGAGGGAAAGAAGAAATGGTGATGCATTTAATATTGGAATGTTTGTGTCCTTGTCATTGTTTAAGGTGCTCATTGGCTCCTCCTGGATACTCTAACATTGGAGGGAGTATACTGATCATCTGGGTCCCTTTTGTTTCTAACTTTCTACAATGTCATATCTTCTATTATTCCTGTGATGGTCAATTATGTACTATGAGAATGAACGTGTAACTCTCTTGACAGAAAAACAAATCAAGGCAAGTGAAAGAACAGGAGCCATAATTCTGTAAGAGAGCTGAGTTTGGAAAAAGGGTTGGTTTCTCTTTATGATTCTCCGCAGGTGAACAGAAACACCAAGCTTACAGAAAGTGTGCTCGAAGATCTCCTTGGTAGAGAAGGTAGATCAAGTACCTCAGTACCTACCACTCATCAGGTTTCAGTTTCCTACTCAGAAGCAAGGGATTTGGGGTTTTGTTGTTTTAATTTTTTATTTTAGAAATAATCTCATTTTACATATCAATTCCCCCATTCCCTTGCTCTCCCATCCTCCCATGCCCTCCACCAACTCCCCAACCCACTGCCCACC